AATGCCTCAAAGCCCCACTCTCGCATGGAGAGATGCAAGGAAGAACATCGCAGCTTACCACAGACTCGAGGGAGGTCTTCGCGTGACACCTGACGAGGTCCCCGCACTGCAACCACTGAGCATGCGGCTGATAATGGCTTTCACAATGCGAACCTTCCGGTTCCTGACGCACACGGCCGAAACTCCAAGCTCTACTTTGCACTCATAGCGAGTACTGCAATGTCTACTTGTATGCCCTTTGTTGCACCTACAATGCCTACTTACGTTCAAAAGTCAGGCCGACATGTGCAACTTCGAGGCTCGGCCAAAGAGCACAGCTTCAGTGGGGAAAAGACTTAAGCGCTCCTCGCAGCCACCATCAAAGCAGTGGACCCAGAAATATCTGGCTCCTCACATTCAATTCTTCGGTCTTCGTCTTGCTGGTCGAACTGTTGCAACTTCGAGGTGAACCCTTGGCTACGTGTGGGGGCACATACACACACAAAGCGACACGCACGCACGCATACACATCCATAGGGACGGACAGACACTCTCTCTCTCTCTCTGTCTCTCTCTTTCTTTCCCCTGTCTGCCGAGCATGCCTCAAGATGAAGGCCTGCTGTGTCCGGACATATGTGCACACAGTGTTGCTTGACTTCACAATCAGTGTCTTTATTCTGGCTCCACATTCCTGCTGCTCACCGTGCTGGGAGGACAACTTGCAACATCTGTGCAGGTCTCCCGGTCGAGCGCATCCTCTCGTTTCTATGTAAGCAATCCTGGCACAGTTCTAGGCCTTGAAGGTTTTGGATTGGGCACTTCAATCGTCCGGTAACATTTCTTCCCGGAAGAAGTCGCCACATCCCTGGGATATGCCATTATCGCAGCGAGACAACAAGACTCGCTTTGGGAGCTTGTGTCATCGACCCGAGGAAAAATCTGTATGACACGAGAACATGCACGGCAAAAAAACGCATTCGCGGATTTACGTCGGTATCACGTGTGTCGATAATGATTGAAAGTGATGTGCCTGTGCATCATGCCCGGGATCCTAGACTAGAGCCTAGGTGCTTTATTCCTCTCATGTTCAGGAACGACTTGGAAGCTGCTTTCCACAACTACAAACCAGAATAAACAAAGGTACTGATAAGCATGCCGCAGCGATGCAAATCATGCTGACGGCTTGGCTAGGTTGGCCATGGTCAACGAGCTTCAGAAATCGTCTCCTTAGCAACCGGCCATCAGACAGGCACGTTCACCTACTCATATTACTAGGTCTCTTTTTGATCGGCACGAATCAAAACACACCGTGCGCAGACAGTGCAACAAAACAATGGAGCAAGTCAAAAAAAAAGGCGTGACTCGCTCTAGATGTAGCAGGAAATCAGGTCTCCGCATGCTAAATTCCATGAATGCCGTCCGGAGTCGCTGGAAATAAATCATCTCGAAGTCCGATGCGCTGGTTCTGGAGGATGCTTCGTCCTGGAAAGGTAACTTAAGGAACTGTTCGCAGTGCGTGATGCGACCTTCGGGTGTTCATCCAAAGGACGTGATCCGCTCCGTGCGGCATGTGAGGGTTCTAGGACATGTGCTAGGGCCCCATGGCTCTAGGCCTCAGTTCCACTGGCTCGAATGGGTCAGCGGCAAAGAATGGGACAACGCAGGCTTCCTACTACTTTATGATTAGACTTAGCTCTGGTTCCAGATGCCGCGCGACCCAAGTCAGAACACTTGATCTGTGGAGGTCCTCTATCGCAAAGCCTGAGCTGCGTTGACTTTCAACACTCTGCTTCCAGGCACGTGCGATTGCTCTGAAAGGGGCATGTGATTGGGTGGTCGATGGCGGCAGTTCGCGCTGTCCGGGAACATGCTCATAATCGGCATGTCAAGCTAATGGGGGCGTGGAGTTGTTCATCTAGATTGACATGCGACCATGTCAAACTATGTGGTGCAGACTTTCTGAGAGGCAGTCTTGAAAAGGCACTTCACGCGACTGGCTCGGCAAATCAGCCCCGAAGTGTTCGGCAGCTACACTCTGCTTCCACGCGCTTTCGTGCTTGGTCAAGGGTTCCCACTTACTACTTCGGGAATCTTGCTGCTGGTTATTGGGGTGTGACTGCGCAGGCTGCTACCACTATCGCTGTAGCCTGCATATTTGCCAAAGTGCCGTCATCACACCAAGAGCTGCGGACATCCGTCATGGTCTCAGTGTCAACGGCCTGGAACACAAACACTCTTGTTCGCTCGGCCATGGAAAGAAGCATGCCTGTGGTTGGCTTGGCTACAGCATCTCATCAACAAGGTGGCATATGCCTGCAGTTTTGAATTGGATAAAGGTACCTAGTCTGCGGAGTGCCGATTTGTGAGTTGGAGCTCAAGCAGCGTGTGCCTCTTCGGATACCCGGAGAAGATCGTCGAGCTCTTCAAACGGCCAGTCGTTCAAGTCGAATGCGAAATCCTTCCCGAAGCCGCTCAAGCACAGCAAAGGCAAGGAGCCAACTCGCTCAGTCTTGCGTTCGCGGCTACTTCATGGCGGTTTGTTTTCGCTGGATCGGCAATAGCTTTTAGCCGTGGCTCTGCTCCCAGCGCAGTGAATCCAAGCAAATTCGATCAAACTCATTAAACGGTACTTGGATTTCAACTACCTTGCGTGGCGTCCAAGACTGCGTGCGGTATGCACCTTAGACTCAGACTGGCATTCATTGAGACTGCCCTGAACCTCGAGGTCACACGGCCTTCTGCCAGACCGATGCTGCTAACATCACTTGGTCTTCGCAGGCTTCGCTCGTCCAGCATGGTACCCCAGCGACTCCTCGTTCTCGAGCTCGTACTCTTCCAGCGACATAGCTTCGCCGCTGCCTTGCATACTCAGCCGAAAGCACAGACCACACTTTCAGCCTCAGCCACATGCCCAATGCGGAAAAATCTCTCCCTACCTGCCTCGCGCTCGCCACTTCTTCCGCCCCGCCGCGCTGGCGAGCTCCCGTGAAGCCCAGACCAGCCGCTTGAAACGGGCCTGTGTGGGGTTCCAAGGCTGCTTGCATCCAGGCGATACACAGTCAGGCCATTGTGATAAGGTCTTGCACAGCATTACTCGTGCGGTGGCCATGTCGGTTGGAGCTCTTTCCCCTGTATTGAATCCTCAACTTCAGAAGGGGACCCAAAAAGTCCGGGGAAGGAAGCAGGGTATCGAAAGAGTCGGATGACTCGCCGAGCCGACACCCCCGCCACAGAGTCCAAAAGAAAATGCCCAAAATTGATATGGACACTCGTGCAGGACTGCTAGCAGACATACAGCAAGAACTAAAGTACTCCCTCCAGGCCTCGCTGCCCGTCTCCACATCCGGATGCAGCTGTCGAGCGAGCCTTCCTGTGTTGGTTGGCAAGGCATGCGTAGACCAGCGGATGAGTAGCGGCGGTGAGCTGCATCTTTATCTTTGCGGTCGCATTTTGTCGTTTGACACATGGAAAGGAATCGTGTGCATGCATACGCTGCCTTGTCTAGACAGATAGATAGATCGACAGAAAGAAAGAAAGATGGATAGGTAGATAGGTTGACAAATTGATGCACGGATGAATGGAATAGTATACGATAGGACAGGAGAGAATACAACTGGATTGGTGTGGCTTGGAGTAAGACAAGCCAAGCTAAGCTGAGCCAAGCTACACTAACAACATAAAGAATACTATATGACCAGGCAAAGTCAGACAAGATAAGATCGGATAAGTAAGTTCGATAGCTGCATGAGTCGGCACACGAGGGGTGAGACAGTCAAACAAAGTAAGATGGAGAAACAGGATTAGGCAGAGGGAGACAGGAGGGCAGGAGCGAATCCGCCAGTGGCCAATCCTGGCCGCATATGTTATATACCAAGGCGCTGAATGCCGGCTTGATTTCCTCGTCGTCGCAATCCTACGGAACTAAAAGTAGCGACATAACCGAACACGTTATTGCATCAGTCCATAACTGTCAGAATCCGCCTCTCTTTTGAAATGTCAGACAAGCATGTCCTGCGACAGGCCGAGGACATCAAACCTTGTTCCAGCCGGAGTGATTCTCAGAAGATAAGAACTCAAGCGTGTGAAGTCCGACGACAACATTTTCCAGGTTGGCCGCTCCACATGTCCGCAACTTGATGACCCCTGTACTCCGCAGTTCCTCGCCGTCCTAGTCCAACATGTGAGTCTTACGCGTCAATTCAGTCGAGCTCTCAGCAGCCCCGACGCTCCAGCGTTCATCAGGCCCAGAAGCGGGTTCTCGAGTGTGGCAGCTCTTCGGTGGGTTCTGGCTCTGTGGCTCGTAGCTCGGCCGCAGAAGTACGAACGAAGGGATCCTGGGTGCAGAAGAGAGCCATCATTGAGATGATTTCATTGACAGTTGAGGCCCTGAATTAGGCCGCGACGGCATGGCCTTTTGCTTTGATGATGTTCTTCCAGCACTAAAGCAGTAATTTCAACGGGCAGGCAAGCATTTGCCAAAGGCCAGCTTCCTTCGAGTCTACGTATCCGACCCTTGACATGCGTGACAGCAAAACTTGACCCTCTGCCACTCGATTTTGCCCCCACCCACACGTTGTTGATCCCACACATGACGGTTTTTCACGTGCAGCCAGCAACCCACAACCAAAATTGAAGGCAGAAAATCAAAACACGTTAGCGGCGCAGACCTGCCGAACTCCTGAAGAATTTCGTGCCTCTCAGAGATCCTTCGGGATCTTTCCCACTCCTCTTGCGCATCAATACCGTCGATACAGTAAAGGTTTTCGTAGTGCTCCACAAATCTACATGTATCACAAAGCCCGGGCCTCAAAGATTTCGCCAAGGAGCCCATGTTTTCCACTTGCGGCACCCGTGCCCGCGCAAAGCAGAAGCACCAGGCCTCGTGTCAGCTCCAAAAAAACTGCAAAAAGAAGTCTACGCGAACCGGGTCTACAACAGCAGCTGGACAAAGCAGTAGGTGAGTTCGAGTGGTGTGCCAGTACTCCCAGCAGGAGTAGTAGTAGTAGTCGTCGTAGTCGTAGAAATCGTAGTCGCAGTAGTAGCAGTATAGTAGTAGTAGTAGTAGTAGTAGTAGTAGTAGTAGTAGTAGAGGTTGCAGTAGAGGTAGTAGTAGAGGTAGTAGTAGAGGTAGTAGTAGAGGTAGTAGTAGAGGTAGTAGTGTAGTAGTAGTAGCAGTAGTAGTAGTAGTAGTAGTAGTAGTAGTAGTAGGAGTAGTAGTAGTAGTAGTAGTAGTAGTAGAGACCACCACGACGACTAGTGACTACTGATAATAGCTCTGGTGTCAGTATGTCGGTCGCTAGGTAGGTTGGCAAACAGGGACCCCCTTTTCTTCCTCTCATGACGTAGACCAAGTCGCTGTTGGGCTATGGTGCAGGAGCAATCCAGCCAGGCCGGCGACCTCGAGCTAACCGGGCAAGCGATGCTCCGACTTTCAAGGTCCCTGCGGCCACCCGAATCTAAAGGAATCCTCCTCGGACGTGCTGTGAACACAAAGGCTGTGAGCTTTGTGCTTCCAAGAAACTGCCACTGGCAGCCCTCTGCGCATGTCAGTCTCGCACACATGCGGCAGCAGCACACGCGGGGCGACAAGCAGATAGGATCCGACAATTGAACATCAGTTTCCTGTCCAGTAAATCCTGGGCTTCTAAAGCTTGGCTAACCTTCGGCTCATCCAGCACAGACTGTAAACTACCCCCCCAAAACTACCAAAGGTTAAAAGTTGCAAACTGGACGTCTACCGATCAGCGGCCTTGTGTCTCAACCACATCCTACACCCCTACACGGCCGGACATGAGTTGGGAAGCACAAACTGCTGAGTCGAGCCTGGCTTCCTGAGAGCATATGCAAGAGAAGCGCTTGTCACGTCTGCTCACTATCTGCAAAACCCATGAACCCCATCCGTTGTTGCTATACTGCTATACCCAACACAAGCTAGGAGCACGAAAAAAGGATCATCGGCAGTCTCCTCCAGAGGAGCGCCGTGCTCCAGTAAGACGCTCACCTCAGCCGTCAGAACTCCAGAGACATCGACCCGAGAGCCCAAGAGGCCTGATTCACAGGATGACGTGCTGTCCAGGGGCAATGTTCAAGTGGCCCAGCAAGGCTGCTACATGGAGAACTGTCCCCCCAGAAGCATCCTCACGAGGCAAGCTGTGTGAAAAAAAAGCCGTATCAGCTGCTGACTGTGGAAGCCACACCCATACTGGCACGCACTGCACAGCTTTGCTTGTATCTCGGTAAGCAAGCAAATGCAACCTGATGAGCAAGCTGAATGCAAGAGGCACGAGAGTCACGAGAGACCGCAGTTGATTGCCAAGTCTCCCGAAAAGATACGAACAAGTATATCCTGATGTGGTATGAGCTAAATGAGGTATGCCAAGCAGGCTGTTCCTACACGGCCGCAGGAAATACATCACAGAAGGAATTCAATCTTCAAAGCGGCCAGTAGCACTGACAAACCCCGGAGGCAGCAGTACTGTACAATGCTATGGTGATGCGGTAGTGCTGTCTGATCACGTGCTCATGGAATACAAAACCAATATATACATGCATGTCAACCTTTGTAGTAACATTTTGCAACCAAGCACGACAGCAATACAAAACATAGCAACTTAAACAACGCCCAGCATTGAGATCGAAGCCACCCGAAATGTCCTACAATGCTGGCTTTCACACAAGGCCGTAGGGCGGGATTTACGATGAGCTTCGACAACCCCTGTCCTTGAGGGTGAGGTCAGCCTTGGCCTGCGTCTGGTGTAGACACAGGCAGCGAGTTGAGTCTTTAGAACCTTTTTCATCCCAGCCGGCAGCGGCTTCCTTTCAATCTCCGGATGCAGCGATCTCTTCAAAGATCGCTGAGAAGGGAAACACTCGAAGAGCCACTCAGACCTTTTAGTTTTCCAGCTCGGCAGCTGACGGCAAACATCGAATAGCTGTTCACAAGAAGTGAGGACACGATTGTAGTAGGCCGCCGGATGACACGGGCTTTTCTTGCCGTGCTGTCGGACCTCGGCGTCCACATACATCCAAACGAACTCGGACTCGCGCCGCGCGTTGCAGACTCGGCTCTCGAGCCGACGCAACCACGACAACACGAAACAAGTGCCAATCTCTGTGGGGCTTGTACTGGTGCGTCAATAGTCCTGGACATCGCGGAGCAAGACTTCGTTGTAGCCACCACTGTCCGGACAATGTCAGTCCAGCAACAAGCAGCCACGCCAACACCGTCTGCGGGCGGATTTTGACACGCCCTTCGCCGACCACAGGATGACATCCAATAATGTATCACGAGACATCGGTTCTAGCTGTTGCCGACAAGGATGGGGCTGTACTCCGCCACAGAGTCCAGGCAATGTTGTGCACAGCCGATATCCTCCGGCAGTAGCACTTAGAAGAGAAATCGATAGCAAAGACGCAGGTATACACAATGTGTATATATATATATATATATACATGTGTACATGTCGGTCGATTCTAATTGTTGGGCCTAGGTGAGACCCCTGTTCAAGCGGTCCACAACCCTGTGCTGTTTCTGTCTGGACTAGCTAGGGCTTATTGTGCGTGATAAGTAGCTTCACTGTCAGCAGCATGATATATCTCTCCCCGGGCAAGCAAACCCCACGCCCAAAGCCGCCGAGTCCTCATGGAGGCAATCTGTGCCTGCACTTGTAACATTGTTTGGGCGAATACACGCAGAAACAAGCGGGTACCGACGCCGCAGGCACTTGTGTAAGCGTCTGTGTGTCTGTCTGTCCGCGTGCCTTTGCCCGTATGCTCATCCGTAACATAAAACTACATGCCCACCTACGTACACAAACAAGCACACGCTGTTTTACAAACGCACGTACATGCACACATCATAGCTGAGAGTGTACGAATACAAATATGCAGAAATGATAGTGTGTTCTTCTACGTTAAAGTATTTGTATGATATGCAGACGAATATACCCATGCTAGGTATACGTAGATGTTAGAATTGCTAGCAGTTGTAGACGAGCGGAAGCGCATCAACGTAAGGATCCTACCATTCGGCCTACAAGGGTTCGTATGGGGGAATCCGGCAGAACCTTGCCAGCAAGATCTTTCTACTGTGTCTGTGCAAGAAACAAACCTCAGTGTCCGAAGCCATTCTGGACGTGCCAAAATCAGCAAAGGGACAGCGCAAAGTGCTTACATTTTCGCACATCTTGGCCATAGATAGCACCTCACTTGCCATGTCCATGCTGCGTCTTGCCCTATTGTCCAGAGTCGCTGGCTGCAGTATCTATAAGTAAGCTCCGCCCAGCAACCGAGACCGCTGCACCCCCATATCACAACCGTTAGGACGGCCGCTTCTGGCTTCGACAATCTATTGAAAGCTACACTGGCCCTATAGAAGTTTGTTGTAAATCGCTGCATCCAGGCACCGCTCTCAGACTGTCTCGGTCCCTAGCCAGGACCACGGGATCTATTGCGGCTAGCGCCGTGTCCTTTGTCGGGAGTCGACAGCAGCAAAGGTTTCTTCTCGAGTGGCGTTATGCCCGCTAGGCGATATACTGGACCCACAACATCTGTCAAATCCTTCATGTAGTAGCACGTTGATCCAGATGTCCACACTCTTTACAATGCACTTCTAGTCCGGGAAGAGCGAGGTCTCAAAAGGTTTATCCCGATTGCGTAAGTGGAAGCTGTTGTAAAATACTCAGATACCGGGCCCTTTCTCCATAACATAAGACATGCATCGAGGCGGGCGTTTGCAGCGTGCCATATTGCGATGTCCGCCCAGTTGCTCTTCTCGAAATCTGCCGACTGCCCAAATTCCATCACCTCCGAAGCAGGACCGGTCGACTGTTCAGCTGACTAGAATATGAATGGTTGGCCAAATGCAGAAAGGACAAGTCTGATGCTTGTTGGGGGGGCTAAGACCCCGCTTCAAGCCAGGGCTGTAATCAAACGTTCTTGCCTGCGGTTCTGCACTGCGGATCGACGCGCAACAAACCCATGCCACCTCACTGGTACTGCAGCAAAAACAGAGCCCATTAGTGTTCCTATAGAAATCCCAAAAAACGTCCCAAAGACCGAGCGCCACAGCATATCGGCCTCTGGGGGCTCCTGCCCTTGCTCTGCGCGCTTCGGGGCGTAGCCGTCCCACCTGTCCCTGCTTGTGCTGGTGGTGGGTGTCTTTTATGTTTCGTATATTCATACATGTCAATGTCTGAAGACAGACCACGGCGGAGCTGCAGAGAAAGGACAAAAACATATTATTGCGCATGCGTACGTCCGCATTGGTCTTGTTTGTCTAGTAGTGCGGCACAGTCTTTAGTGTGAGTGGGGTGAAAATGCTCCCCAAATAATTTCCGGCGTCTCGAGCAGAGTGATCCTCGTGTGCTTCCCAGACCCCATCTTTCTGTCTGTATCTACATGTATATTCGAAACATTGGCATGCTTGTGACCGTATGCACGTCCATGTCACGCATGATTATAAGCATGAATGAGCATGGCGCATGTGCTCAATGTATGAGCGAATGTACATTATGCTAGTTATCGATTCATTGACCTTCCACCTACTCGTTCATAAAACGAGGCACAAACCATACATGAGAAACGAAGTCCAGCTACGACTGTAAAACCGCTAGAGTTCATGGCTTTGGGAACGGAACATGGCCTGCCCGTCGATCGGCAAGGCAAGTCCTCCCCCTCCTGCCTTTAATTGGACAACAGGCCACCCCAAAGCTCTGCCAACGCCCTTATTTGGCGGCCCAGCTGCAGGAAGTTGCAGACCTGCCGCTTCGAAGAGGACTTTACCTGGCGGATCTGACGTCTTAACAGGAGCTTGGGCCCTGGATGCATGTAAAGCACCCTTCGTGACGAGGCCTCTTCTCTTCTCAACTCCCCAGGACACAAACCACATTCCATTCGGAGCCTATCCTGCAGACATTTGCAGGCACGCGACTTGCACGTGAAGCATGGTGTTGAAGGTGAGATTCCTCAGGTGGGCTTCAAGACGGCCATACAAGTGCCACTGCCACTTGCCCTGGCATGTGAAGGAGCTATAGTAGACCAGGCATGAATCAGGGTAAACCCTGCACCAACTGTCACACTGTAAACTTACAACATATAACCTCAGTTTCCCGATACGAAGCAAGGGAGGACCAGCAACGGTTATCCCGAATGCATGTTCCAACTTCTCCAATCGACTGCAAGCTTTGAGAGCCACTGGGTAAGGAGATTGCACTGTTAAGCCGCTTTTCGGGGATTTCGGGGCGTCACACTTTCCGAGACAAGGCCTTCTAATGGTTCAGATTGCACCGATCATGAAAATGCCATCGAGGCTCCACTGCGCACGGAAAGCCAGAAGAGAATCCTCCATCCTGCTGGGAACTGTTGAGGCTTCGACTGGGGATGAGAACTTATAGGTCTCAGGCCACCTGCGCATCCAAAAACTGGATTCTGTTATGATCCGGAGTCGAAGGAGGGTGGGAGCCAGCTTGACCGGTCAGCACCCCTTGGCACCCACGCGTCTGGGGCAAGTTTGGCCTCTGGCTTGGTGACTTCGAGGCAGGAGCAGTTGCGAAGACTGAAGCAAGCAGGCACCCCTCCTCTCCGTCACGAACAGGAAATGGTACCTGAAACGCGCTGGTATAGACGAAGAACAAACATGGGCAACCAGTCGCTACGCCACGGCAGAAAGCCCAACGTGCGAACCCATGGCCTGAAGAACCTGCAGAAGAACACCGGCTGCGCCTCGAGATGAGATCCGAAATAGTTTGGTTGGCCCATAAGGACAAGAACCTGCCAGCGAGGCACAGATGGGAGCAGTGAGCCGTCACCTCCCATGTCCGTGCAGGTGTTCGCACGGTGCGAAGAGCCGTGTTTGAGCTTTTCTCTGGGTCATACGGCCATACGGCAGCCAATACAGCCACAGAGTGAGGGAGGATATAGGCTGCAGCCACATAAACTAGAACTGCCTGGCACTCGATGCGTACCAAAGAGCTCATACTGAAAATTGCTGCAGCACGTCGTGAATTCGGTGAATCCTTGGATCCGCCCGAGACGGACTTCGGTTATTCTCATGCACGCCTTAGTAGCAACCAAAAATTCACAAGCCAAGAACACCGCACCAACACGGTCAAACATGCACAAACGAAACAACATCGACTACGGATAGATTTGATCAAAACCAGCATACCGCTGCTGTCGCACGAAGACTGCAGCCATGCCAGCTTGTCGACTGTGCTTGGTGGGCCAGCTTCGGTGTAGTGTTCCTGAGACAGGCAAACACTTGAGAAACTAAGCAGACGCTTGAGAGAAGAGTGTGCAGCTACGGCTCATTCTGCTTGTTTGGGACCTGCACTGTCGCTACAGCCATCATCATGTGCTTGAAAATCACCCCCCCCCCCCCCC